GTTGTTGTTTTGTTTCGCATTTGTTCAGCAAGATTCCTGTACTATGGTTCCTGACATGAATTCTCAGCAATTAATGGCATTGAATGGACTGAAAGGCCGCTGCTCTCAGCTGCAGAGGTCAGTACCAAGAAGCTACTGCTGTAAAAGCTCGAGCACCCACAAAACCATGATCTGGAACATACTTGACTGCTCTGTGAAAAAGTCCAGCAGGGTATCTTGGCAAGCATTAAGGGCTGTAAGAAAGTAGCTCTTTAAGACCTCCAGTAATTTTAGCTATCATGCTCTACTGTGCCAACTCCTTTTCAAAGGTTTATCCCAAGACCAAGAAGGAGAGCATTTTAACTGAGAGTTAGGATCAGAGCCTTTCTAAAAGGCTGCCTTTCACCTCATTCTACCAAACTTCAGGACCATGCTTCAAAACCTGGGGATGCACAATTGTTTCAAAGAAATACTCCTAAAGTGACACACAGCAAAATCACAACTTTTCCCCCTGTTTTGAGCTTGCAACAGCTGAATTTCAAAAGTAGGGGATAGAACAGAATACCTTGTTTGGAAAATTTCAGCTCATACAGGTACTGTTTGGCACAAGTTATAAACAACAAGAGTAAGAAGAGAAGTGTTAAGCAACCCCCTAATTACAGTGACAGCAGCTACGCCTATAAATATAACAGAAAAATAGGTTTTAGAAAGACCTAAGCTGATAGCACAAACCATCTGATTACTAAGACAAGAGTAATGCCTAACTGTTGCACAGATCAGTGATGCTCTGAGAATACAAATGTTTAAATTTAATGTCAAAGTTTTTCAATCTCTAAATAAAAAAATAAAAAAGTTGCAACAATCAGAAACATAAAACTATTTACTTTTAACCTCATCTGACAAGGGAATTTGAATGCTTGCCATCAGCAGTCTTAAGCATATGAAACGTAAGCTGTTAAAAACTGTTTAAAATTATGCGTATACTTCAAGACATTTTCCCCATTTACCCAATTTTGTTTTACCTGAAAAGACTTAACAGCACTTCTTTACGTCATCTGCCCTATTATCCACTCATTATTTGTTTAGCTTTGTCTAGATGATTAACCATACTGAGGGCACACAAATTCCACTCAAGGCTATTCAGAAGAGTTGCTGCGCAAAATGAGCGGGATGGTAAAAGATTCCTCACCAAGAACTCACTCACTGTTACAAAATCAAACTCCTCAAAATTGTGACGGCAGAATATGCCTATGTATTCACACACATTCATGCCCTCATACAAAGGACAACTGCAAGCAGAGTAAGTATTCAGAAGTCAGCCTTGTAATCGAATTGTAGGCTATCAACCTTCAGTAAGAGTTTTCTTGATGTAGGTAAAATTCAGATTTACTGATAGGCTTGGGAAAACTGTCTGAGCAAGTAGTAAGAAAAGACAGACAAGGGAATTATGTGACTTTTCTGACAGCTCTCTTGAGGGGACAACATAGCAAAACTTCCGACTTTGAAAAGGAAGCATTTCCTTTGGTGTCTAGCACGTGGAAAGAAAAGACTAGGTTATCAAGATATTGTAACAGGATAAATAACAGTCAGAGTATTAAGCTGACCTTTTCAAGGTTCATTGTTTTCATTAATTTTTATGGAAGTGCAGTGTCTGCTGATGAAAGCACCAGGAAACAAACAAACAAGCAAATACATATATTAAAAAAAAAAAAAATTCAATAACAGAAACTCAGAGAAATCACATGAACTCTAAACTCATGTCCCAGAAACCCAAAGTTAATGAAAATCAATGGGTTTTCATAAGTGAAGCTCTGGAAATGTGTCAGACCAAAATGGTTATTCAACTGGCAGCACTTTTGCCTCTGAACTACTGGGATACAAACTGCTGTTGCTGGGAGAACAGAAGCAGCACAGGATAAATTCAATATGCTAATGTTTCTGGTGAATCTTTTTTCTTCCCATAAAAAAAATAAAGGGGTAAAAAAAGCCAAGCCACAAATACAGCATAATAGCACAGTTCCATCAGAACTTTAAAAACAAGCTACAAAACAAACTAAAAAAACCTACCTAAAGTCAAAAGAAAGTATAAACAAGTATTATTCAAAAATACATTCTTTGTGAAACTTGTAAGTTACCGCATCAGATAAACAGTGAAATTGCCAAATGTTAGTGCTTATGGGACCTCATCCATCTAGAAAGAGTTCCGATTATTACTAAAAATAAATATACCTTTCTCAGACTCCATAGTCTAGCTTTATTTGCATATGATCTGTATGGCATTATAAAGTTCCCAGGGACTGGGAAAAAAACTACCGTACTGTCCCTCTATTTCTTATGAGCTAGAAATCATACCTCTGAAGAGGCAGTACCACTAGCACTGAATAAAAAGGAGTACATGTGAAAAGCTCAAGGGTATAGTTTTGTGATCACCAATATAAACACACATTTACTACCAAAAGTGAGGGGAAGATCCTCTCTCCCTTTCTATCAGTTTTTCTGATCCTTATCGTGTGCCACCATTAGTCTTCTGGCTCTCCAGACAGAGGCATGCATGATCAGCCTGCTAAATCCAGCTGAAAAACAATTTTTCCCCTCTGAGTAAATTTTCAGCTGAACCAATTATCTGATCTCATTTACTGCACGGGTAATATGCTTAGAAGTCTCTGAAAATGCATTGCTAAGATGCAGCCAGGACCGGCCGTTGTTCAATCTGTAGATTTAAAGCAAACATGGAACACAGCTTCATCTGCTCTTAATACTGCCTGAGTATATGTGAACTGAAAGAGGGGAGAGAAAAGAAAAAAAAAAAAAAAAAAAAAAAAAAAAAAAAGAAAAAAACCTAAATGAAAAACACTGACACTTATTCACAGCTCTACCAGAAATGCAACTGTGGGAATCTGCTGCTGCTGACATTTCTGTAGGTAGATGTCTGTGCTGAAGAACTTGACTGTTTGCATGACCAGTTCCATATTCATTACAGCAGTGATCTTAACCAGATCCTGTGCAATCACAACAAATTTAATTTTTCTCCAATTTCTCAGACTCTTCTGCAAATTTAAGCTACACAGTTATGCCCATTAGGCCGCTGAGTCAAGATGCATCACACAGAATGTAATTTATCAAGAGGATTGTGAGACTTGGCTAAGAACCGAGGTGGAAGAGCTCCAGGGATGAAATGAAAATGATGGAATGGCCATTTCCATTACAGAAGAACACCATATCACAAATACTAATTGCAAAACACTATAAAGTACAACAGCTCAAGAAAACTAAAATAATATTGTCGCAGGGGAAAAAACACCCTCACCTTTATTTGTTCATGCCAAATCACTAGTTTTTGCAGGGGAACTCAAGGTCTTTCAAAACATTCACTTAGTGTTTTCCCCCAACCAGTTATTACACACACCAATAGCTGTGCTCTTTTTTTACCCTCTCCGGAGGAGCCTCACCCAGAGGACAGTACTTCAATATGTTAATCTTGTTATAGTATCATATCCAAATACACAGCAGAAATCGGCAATGGCCAAGAATTTTCTGACTCATTTTTTTAAAAGCCAATTTATCAAAAAGTTTTCACAGAAAAGGCATTAGTTTTGGCAGGGTGGAAAACCAAAATAAAACATTGTCTTAAGATTACCAAGTATAAGAATGAAAACAAAAGATGCTCTGCCCAGTACAATCAATAGCTCAGGACAGAGTAAGATTTGCAAGATCTAAGCTCAAGTTTCTACTGTGCATGCATGTGAGAGAAAGCAGTACTTTGGAAGGACTTTTGCAAGAACTGTTTTCTAATACCTGTACAAATTCCTGACTCTTGAGGCAGCTCAGGTAACTAAAACCAACATTTTTACTACAGCAAACTGAAAAAGATAAAATATACATAATCTATTATAATATTTGTCCAGAGGATCTCTCTGATCAAACATTTTTTCTTTATAGCCATTCTTTAGAGCAAATAAAAATATTATAGCATAATTTTATTTTTCAGTTATGAAAAATGCTCACTGTGTTCTTGTGTATAGAACTGAGACACACACAGCATGACCTGGGCCTCTCCAGTTCTTAATAGTGACATTTGGTGTTTTGATGCTAACTGTTTTGATTCAATGGATAATAAAACATTCCAAGTTCTATGACAGATGTGGAAACAAAAGGAAAAACACTTTCAGCAAAGCACTGGACAGACAGCACATCTCCATACACAGCCCCTCAACAACATACTGGAGAAGCATTTAGTTTTTGATGTTGTAATTATGAACTCATAACTAACTTACAAGTAACACAAACACATGTTCTTAACTTACAACATCAAAATCCTTAAGAGACATTTCCTGACTTTCTACCCTTTTTAATGGATGCTGATTTTCTCCTCTTCCACTTCTTCCCCTTTTTGGTAACCAGAAGGCAGTTCTTTTTCTCAGAGTTTTCAACCCCACTGATCACATCAAATGTTACAAATTCCAGACAGGATCAAAAAAAAAACCAAACCAACAAACCACCCGGCTTTAACGTAACAGAAGCATTACCTGCTAATAGCTGGGACCAGCTAATAGCTGGTAATTGTGACTTTTACCTACACTGCCCAACAGTATTCTTTAGCTAGGCCTAAAGACACTGAGTCCTCAAACACATTCATATAGGATTAAAAAAATTCTGTCTGCTTGCTGTCACTTTTTTTCCTTCTTTTTTTTTGTCTCCTTCACAAAATATCTATTGGAACAGGGGCCCTATGGTCTTAAGAGGTGGGGGGAAGAAGGAAGCTCTTTCTCAAATAAGTATAGATTTTTTTTTCTTCTGTTTTTTATCCCTACAGCATTTAAACATACTAAACTTCAACTTGAAATATATTTTCTACATATAAAACCAGAATAAGATGTGAAACATTTTCTGCAAAGACTGACCTGTGATGATAAGACATTCATTGTGATCCAAGACTTCAGTGATGAGCCTCGATACAATCAGTTCTGGGTTGATTAAAAACCGAATCTCTTCTTGTACTAGTCCTGCCCCAGTCACACCACCTCCAACAAAACGGTTTGCAAAATCAACCTAACAAAAATATATTCAGGAGGATTATGAGATAAGCAAACAGCATAAAATCCTTTCATTTACCAAGGTAAATGAAGTCCTGTACAAATTTCAATAATTCTGTTGAAATCTGCTGCTATCACTTAAAAATACAAGCAGCAGAACAGAGCCTGATTAACAGCATACCTTTCTCTTTTTTTCCTTTTTACTTCTCAGAAAACTTAAAACAAGTCAGATATTACACAGCAAAATAAAGTTTTGCATCTCAAATGCTCTCAATCCAAGTTTTGTGGGTTTTCTTTGAAGAGCACATATTTAAGAATAAAACTTACTTCAGTAAACGTGAAAGACAAAACCAGCAAGTTACAGTATTCTTTCTGCATTTTATGGACATTAAAGAATTATTAAGTTGTCCTTTAATAAGCATTCTGCCCCAGCTGTCCACACTGAAGCATTTTTAGATTAGCATTGCCCCTGTACCAGTTGTTCTGTACCTAAAAGTCTCTTATGAATTCTCCTTCAAACGCACTTGAACAAGGCAAGTAATTTGATCATTAAGATTTCTGCTTGAAACAGAGAAGCTCTGGACTTTATTTCTTGCTGCAATAATACATATTTTTCAAATTACATTTTTATATAGACAACAGTTCTAAAAGGATTTGGTTTATTCAATAAAGTGATTACTATTTATTCAAATTCACTGCCCATATAAATTTATAATTTTAAAAAGTCACTGCATCTTTCAAATGTTATTAGCTTTCTTACTGATATTTAGATAGCTGATGAGAGCTATCTAAATATCAGCAAGATATTTACAGGAGGGGAACAAAAGTTGCTGCAGTGACATGAACATCTGTGTAGATGACAAATTGATTCAGGAGTCAGAGTCAAGTCCAAAGCACACAGAGAGCCAGCCGCTACAACAGCACGTGTTCCTGAAGTCTATTCTGGAAATACCAACACACTTCAGTTGTTTAAGATTTGCTGACCTTGACTATGATAAAAAAACGTACCATGAAAACTACCCAAATGTTCAGTGTGTCAGGGCCCCAAATGCACTTTAACTGTGCTGAGTAGCCTCACCCTGGGCCCCCATCCTTGCCTCCGGTGCATGGTCCCCATACAAACACACCCCTTTGTCCTGGACCTCGCCTGAGACACATCATGTATGGGCCCATGCCCAGCCCTGTCCCCTGCTGATGCCCACTTGCTGACCAGACATCTAGGGCTGATCTTGGTGACCTGACTCATCACCTTGCCTTTGTCTGATGACCGCCAGCCTGTCAGCAGAAACTATTATTGTCACCATCCCTGCTCTGCTTGTCCCAGCCAGCAACCCTGCCCACTGAGGCTGGGGTCACTGCAGACTCCTGCATTGTCATCTTGCCTTGGTCATCCTGCTCCCTCCTGGAATAAGCACTCTTCGTCTGAGCAGTGGCATTTTGTTTGATAAGACTTTCAATAGCCAGGAGGAAAAATATCACATCCTAGGCAATGCTCTCTTTTACAGGGTGCAACAGAAACAGTACATGAAAAGGCATAATTCAACCTCTCACCTCTGAGGTTATAGTATAGTTGAATAAAGAGACAGCAGAAAAATGGTTATTATTGAGCAGTTGCTGAGTTCTTAATAATTTCAAGACACATTTGAGTGCTCAAGTTTCATAAAGTCATGAGACATTTTAAAGTTTGAACAAAAAGCATTGCAGAAGAAAGTCCTCCTATTCTCCTTCCTCCTCTTCCTTTGCAGCACTTGTTCCCAGCTAAAGAAGTTGTAAATTTTTTTTGGTAAATGAACTCTAGAGGGTAGACGACTTTTTTTTTTTTTTTAAAAAAAAAAGACAAAACCCAAACAACTAATTTGAAAACTCAAATGTGTTTCTTGCTACAGATATGGACAGGACATCCTCCTTATGAATTTCTTCTGCTGACTGGCTCCCAGACCGGAACAGTGGTGCTGGCAGCAACAAGAAAGTCTCCTGAACCACTGACCTGGTCACTGTCTGGGGCACAAGAATAATTTTTTGAAAATAAACTGAAACCCTTGACAACTCATCAAGATCACTGCCTGAAACTTTTATCCTGTCAATCTTTGATCCTGGTTTGAACCAAAAGACCTGAAGCTGTCCAGGGCTCGTGATTTTCTGTCAGCTCTTTCTGTACCAGGTACATGTGCAAACCTACTTGAGCTGGGGAACACTGACAGTACTAAGACTGCCCACGGAATTAATTTTGATGTTTCGTTTACACTGCATAACATCTTGTCATTTAAGTCAACTGACGATAAATAATAACTTCGTTAAGCTGGCAGACTATAAAAGTATGACAAAAACATGACATAAAGCCACATTTCCTGTTATATGCGCTTACCTGTAGCATACCTTGTCCATTGCTTTCAATGGTGCCTTCATAGGTGACATGCAGTCTAGACAGTTTTTTCTGAGACCTATCATTGAGGAAAAATATTGTACAGAAAGGATGATTATAGAATCTCCACACGAAGACATCCATTTTAAAAGAAAGCTCATTCAACCCAAACTTCTCACACACCTTAACACAAGGTGGTTTAACAAAAAAAAAAAAAAAAACAACCAAAAAACCAAAAAACCAAAACCCTGATGGATTCAAGAAAATGCCTTTGCCTTTCAGAAACAATTTGTAGAGGTTCAACGTAGTCAATTGTTCAGTTTCTCCACCTCTTTCACCATAAAGCCCCAAACCTGAAATTGAAGTTCTATGCTTTTCACAGAAGTTTCACAAGTTTGTCCCACATTAACTCGCTAATCAGCAAGAAAGCTGCAACACTTGTGTTTTCATACTGGTTATCACCCTATTTCATTATATTTCCTGTCATTTCTGAAATCAAGTCATCTCTCTCTTTTTTCCCCACTCAAGCAACAGCACCGAAGATGTGCTACTGTTTTAAAAATTCACTTAAGACTTGTTGGCTTCACAGGTGAACAAACATACTGGAAAACTCAGGGCACTCAAACTACTTGTGGCAGTTCACCCACTTCCCTCTGTACTTCTCTCCATAACAATCTATACCAAACATTGTTTTCTGTAGTAGTTCCAGGCCTGAATCAATTCCATATGAATAGGATTCAGTTATCACTGGCGTAAGAAATTTCTTACATTAACAGGATGTTTGACTTACCTTTCCCAGTCTGGAAACTCCTGGAGACATTGCCTTGTAAACGTCACCAATCCCGTAGGTTCTACAGGCAAACCAACCCCAGAGGAAAATGCATTAACTGCTGGAGCTTTAGTCCTTAGATTATTTTAAGCGGTAAGCTTTTAAAATTACAGCAAACATGATTCTTGGCAGAAACACAAGAGCTTAACTTTCCTCAAGAGCAGCTTTGAATCTTCCCCTAACAGCCCATGCTCAAACTGAAAACAAGTAACATGAAGACCAAAATACTCACTTCTCTTCTCCCTTTGGAGTTCAAGTATTTTTCTTTTTCCAGATCAAGGAAAAACTATTTCTTAAGTGATTTTCACTTAAACTGTAAACACTACTAGAAAGACTCAATAGTTGAGGTTAAAGTAAAATGTGCTGCCACTTAGAAAAAAGAAATTGTGAACCTTTAGAAGTGACTACTGTTCAGTGCCAACACACAATGCATAGAGTACTCAACCTATGGAAGGATGAAGCAGCAGCTCGTATTTCCAAGGAAGTCCTACTATGTCAATAAAGATGCAGTGTTAGTGGATTCCAAATCAAGCTATTTTCAGCCCTGCCAGGATGCCTAGTGAAATTCACTGTATTTCAACTAAGAAAAGACTCCTGCCCGCAAGAGAAAAAGAGGAGCCATTGCTCATTGAAGGAAGGATGCATTATTATCTTCTCTCCTTATTTTACTCAAAAAAGTTCAGTTTTGCAACAGAAAGAAAATATCAACCTTTTATTAGGTGATGTCATCCTAATAAAAACGTCATTTGAGACCCAGTTCTTTGCTCCAGTAAGTCTAGTGCACTGGCTTATGAAAAACATTCAAAGCAGTATGTAAAGCACAAACATATCCTTCCAAAAGCCTGAAATAATCCTATGCTTTTCTTCAAAATTATAGGGATTTAGGAGAAAAAAAAAAAGGGTTGCTTGCTCTTAAAAAAAAGCACACAGCTTTCAGTAATCAAGTGCTTTTCCACAAGGGAACTCTGGTATCAGTGGCGATATTTTACAAATTAAGCATTCACCTTTTGAGCACAAAGTCTTCAGCTGACAGAGTCTCCACTGTGTTCTTTTACAAGGAATTCAATTACCATTTACAATAAAAAGAGTTGCAAAATTGTTACAGTAATTTATAGAGCTAAGTTACTTCAGTCTTACTAATTCCTTGGACAAAAAAGAACAAGAAATAGGGTCTTTTAAAGGTATGATAGGAATTTTTAATTCAAGAAAAGAGCATTCAAGATTCTCATTAAATATTATTTAAAGTTATAACATTAAGAAATCTAATACGGTAGTTTCATAAATCATGTTCCCAACAGATCTCATATGCACAGGGGGTCACAGGGACAGCTGCATAAATTTAGGATTTCGTTTGCATGAAAACATTATTACTCAAGTATAAGTATTATTACTCAAGTATAAGTATTATTACTCAAGTATAAGTATTATTACTCAAGTATAAGTATAAAGAGTGAGTGCACTATATCTCTTCTCAGTCCCACACATAGATCACAATTTACTTTTTACCTCAGAGATTTAGTTCTATTGACGTTGCTGAAAGTTTGATAGCTGAAACAGGATGTAGCTACATTTAATTTGTGGTGAATTAAAATGATGATCTGAAGATGGACTGAACGAAGTAAAGGGATTTTTATATTTAATAGCTTAAAGCTGTCTTTCTTTTAAAACAAACACTTCTGAGAAAATATGAAGCTAATAGTGAAATACTGATATGTAAAGAAAAAATTCTTTAAAAAAATACTATAATAAGGATATTACTGCAGATGTGATGTATGCTACGGCAGTAAAATCTTTCTCCCCCAAAATACAATATATAAGCTGATACAGTTCTCGCAAAAATAAAACTATTTTTGAAAGCTTATGCAGGTGTTCAAATTCATGGTAACAACAGAAGATCTGACTATGCACACTAAGGAAAATATTGCGCTAACTTCTAAAAGAGTTGGGGATATCTCATGTCTTGCTATCATTTGTTTTATTTGAACTTCACAACAGCTTTGCTGTCGGAGAACAGAAGGGAAAAAACCTGAAATATCAACACAAGTAGGGGAAAATCCCTCAGAACTACAAATGTTATAGTCAAAGGACTAAATGTGCATACTGCAGGAAATCTGAAGCTTGATTCAGAATCTTTAAGCTTGTGATTTTAATGACTACATATGGTGCTAAGTTCCCTCTACATTCTCACTGATGAGGCGCAGCAGTAGTTGCATATATTACAAACATTATACATATGCATATTTATGTATACACATATAGACATATATATATACACAATTTTAATATATATATATGAGGGGTGTGAAAATGTATCTCTGTATTTTACACATCCCCTCATATATATGTTTTCAGAAAAAATAAAACGGAATAAGCTCTGTGTAAAAAATTTAATGGCATGCATCATCTATATGAGTAGTGACATGAATATGAGTATCAGTGTGCTTAGCAAGCTGGCTTTTGTTACACACTTCCATCATAATGCTGCATAGCGATTTCTAAATTTCATGGGATTAAATTTTGCATGTATCTGCTTTGTAGCTCAAAAAAAAAGAATAAAGGATATACTTTTTTCTGTGACTCTCCTAAAATAGCAGAAAAGGGTCTTAAGTTTCTCAGGCTTCCTTGGTGACCGTCCTTCAAACAATCTGAAAAACAAGAAATAAAAGCAATTAATTAGATTTCAGGGTGATTTGATTTTTTAACTATTATGCACATATTTCAATTAGCCTTGCATTTAAATACTCCACCGTAGAAAGAACTCTCTAGACAGCCCCTCTGTAACATGGGTCTTTAGGAGTAACAAGTTCGTTCGCTTGCCAAGTTTCTGATGAAGATGCTAAGTGAATGCCTATCTCACTCATACTGATTTTGGAATATCAAAAAACATAATTTCAGTATGAACACCCAGGAAAGCTACTAGCTTTATTTGCAACAGACTGGTTTGGATGCAAATAAGTGACTGAGGGGTGAAAACGTGTATGTTGAGTACTCCAAGATCCAAATGTCTTACCCTACTTTCAGCTCAGTGAGTTGCAGAGAAGAATTAATGCAACCATATTGCTTTCAAGAGCTGCACTGCCCCAGCAGCGTTTCTAAAGAAAAGAACCTACCCCCAACAGAAAGAGCTTCAGCCACTGGGCTACTACTGGCATGCTAACATTCATTTGTAAAAACCTAAGCATTAAAAAGAAGCATCCTATTTTTAGCCATTAAGTGAATGTATTCTTTTAAGGTTAGCTGAAATACTTTTACTGCATCATCTATCTTCCAGCAACTTGAACACGCATTACTTAATTTCACTTCCAACAAAGTGACAAGGCATTGTTATGGGCAACACATAATGGAATTTATCTGGAAGGAAGAATAGCAGCGACTTCAGAAATAATATCCTTTGAGTAGGAAGTTCACTAAAAGATGTCTGATACAGTGAAAGCCCCGAGGATGTAAGATTCCCCCGCAATAAACAGTCTAAGTAAAGGAATGACACAACATTATTCATTTGTTTCCGTGTACTGGAATGACAACCTGCCTTTAAAACCAGGAAGCTGTCAGGTGAATTTAGCTTTTAGTAGTGAACTAGATTTTTTCAGTATTTAAAAATTCTTATGAAGTATACATGCTGAAGAGATCAATTACATCCAAAATCTATATTCAGTCACAAAAGCTAATTTTAGAAAGGTTAAAAAGGTTTCATAAAAACTTTTTTATTCTTTGAATAATCAAGCAGGACTTTAAGAAGGCAAACTCCAGACTTATACAGTCTATTTTAAAATGGGCCAATATGCAAGTTCTATCAAGGGGTTGTGCTTGCACAACTAATAAGGGGTTCATCAAAGAAAGAGTTGGGGGTGGAGGGGGGGTGGGGGTGTGTGTGTTTGTGTGGGTCTTGCCTAAATGCATAAATGATCTCTGACTTTTCATCTGCAAGTTTCATTTGGTAAGAATCCTTTAACCTGGTTAATTTATCCATTAGCCCAATCATGCCTTTACTAGGTTTTTTGCCTTTTTACATCAAATTGAAATCTTGCTTATGCTGTAAACTCTCAGGAGAGAGTTCTTCATGTCACAAAGGTGATACATGATTCAGCATTACTAGCAGACTGGGCAGGAGAAGTCCAGAACTGGAAAAAACTATGCCCGAAATAAGTCAGATCAAGCTAAAAGGCAATGGCAAGGCAGATGCATTTGGCTTCATCCATTACAATTACTCACCAAAATGCAGTCACTCTGTCAACTAGGGAATTTCAACCAAATATTTTTTTAAATCTGAAGTGTTCACCATTGGCCTGCCTTTTCTCTTGTTAAAAGCTGTGATAACTACCTCTCTTCTTTCTCCTCTTGGATCAAAGCTAGAAGCTGATTTGCTTCCGAAAAATCTCACTTACAGCAGATAAATATTCCCAAAACACCATCTATAATGAGAATAATAATGAGAAGAGGTATCTGTATTTCTGTTCTAGCCCTATATGGCTGGGTAAAAACCACAGGGCAGCACAAAAGAATTTGAAAAGCTCTGGATTCTGGCACAGGCATCCCTTGCTGTAGAGGGATACTCCATACAGTGGGGATACACACAGTGACGTTCAAAATTATCTGTATTTTGACCTAGTAGCTATACGCATCCAGTAACTACATGCATCAGATCTTTTATAGCAGTTAGCCCAAGAGCTCTCATCACCCTTCTCCTCCTCACAGTATTTGCTTTTCTTCACTATGACATAACATAAATTGTACTTTCTCTTGAAAATCCACTATTAAATACAGAAAAATAATTTTTGAAAAATTATTTATTAAAAACAAAAGCAGGCAACACCAGTCCTGTACACACATTTTAAGACTAAATCCACCACAAATTATGTTTGTCCAAAACAGAATGCACTCATAAAAGGACAGCCGTTTATGGCAGGTTGAAGATACCATGTCTTAGATTAACATGCTTAGATTTACTTCATATTTTCTGTGTCTAGAATTTACTTTATTAGTGAGCTAGTGGCAAACTGAAGATGGCTATCTGCAAACATGCTTTTTATTACATATATATGTTTGCAAAATACAGAACACTAGTATATTGCTTGCGTATTTTCATGTAACCAGACCACTAGGAACCCTTGTCTTCAGCTGTTTCAAGTAGAAGGTGCTTTACAACATTAGGAATTTGTTTTAAAGGGCAATCAGACCAGTGGAAAAATCCCCACAGATTTTAATGGGCTATAAATTAGCCTAAAACCCACATAGTATCTAATTATTTATTGATATTCATTCAGTTGAATTTGACTGCTTCGTAGTCTTTTAAATTTCCACAGAAATCGTATCACAACGACATCAATGATTCAGACAACTTTCAGCAAGCTATACTAAAGTCAGAAGAAGAAAGAAAAGCACAAGAGAAAACCCAATCACCCTCCCCCCCCATACACACAGGCAACCAAGCTTGCTTAAACACAGCACAAAGTAACCAGTCATCTTTGTGAATGCAACAGGAAAAGCAAGTGATATTTACAACAACCAAAAATGGCCCAGTCCTGCCCCATTAATTTACGCGAGGATATAACATGGCAAAGTTATGAACGTTTTAACCTTAAACCTTACTTCTGAAATGATCAATTAGGCAACATTATGACGAGTTTTATTTCTGAAGCAAATATCTCTATTTTGAAGAGCAAAACTAGATGAGGCCATCAATAAGATAATAAATAAAATTCTTATTCAAGCTCCGAGACACAGATCCTACTAAAAAAACCACCCAAAACGTAAGTGGCAACCACATAATCAATTTCCTGACAGAAGAACCCAAGGCCAAAACCCATTAATTCCAATTAAAGAACTCATCCAAGTGAAGTGCACTGTAAATCAAATGCAAAGCACTGCAAGCCCACTTTCAGTTGAAGTAATTGAAATATTACTGGCAACTGCATATGTAAGCTGTTTTGCTTTGTACAAGATGTTCCCACTGCCATGCAGCTAACTTCAATTTAGCAGATACAGGAGCAAAGAAAGCTTTCAGGGCTGATCACCAAACACAGCTGCAAATTTATCTCTGGCTTTCCGGCTTCCAAGCCAGGGTAGCAGCAATGTTAATCAAATAAAAGGCCTCTACAGAGATACACTTAAGTATTTGAGGAATCAAGGTCAGAGATTTAAAAACATAAGAAAGTAGATGTGTGAACGATGTCATAAACACAAAGTAGATTGTTAAAGTCATTGTGGCTAACTGAAAACTCTTTCCTAGCAAATATTCAGACGCTTAATTCAATTGTTCTGAAGAGAAATCCTATATATAAGAAATAAAATATTAAAAATAATAAGAACTGATATTGGGAAAATAAAAAAAAATTTAAATTACTCAACAACTGTCAGTAAACATACAGTAACGTTACAAGGCAATAGTTTATATTATTTCAATAATTATTACAATAACATGTGCATTTGTTTTGCATTAGCTTTTTCATAAAATTTTAGGGTGGGGAAAAAAGCATTTTAAAAGTGTAATCAATATTCTGGTTTTTGTAGTCTCATTGACTGCAAACTCAAAATTGTCTTATTTTCAACCAACATTTCCACCTTAGAAAGCTGGAGCCAAAAGCTCTAAAGAACCTGTTCCTAAGTCCTTCAAGTGCTGAGACAAGCGGCAAATCTGCAAGGTACTTTAAAGGGTGCATTTCCAATGATGCAACATCAACATGACTTAATAACATTAAGAGCTACACAAAAGTAACCTTGGCATGCAAATAGTTTACTGGGGAAAAGTTGAACCAGCTTAAGTAAACAGTTCCGAAATACATTGTTTCTGATTACAGTATAATTAAAATACAGTAGTTTACTTGTAAAATTTAATTTCCAAGGAGCTAAATTGATCCCTTGATGTTACTTGAAGAACTGGCTCCAGCAATTTTTACAAGCAGAAGGAACTATTACAATCATGTGGTTTAATCTCCCAGTTAAATAATTTCATATTGGTATTTCCATCCCCAGCCTGTATCTTCCCATCCCCAGGCTGGGCTTCCTTTGAACGTTTCTTTTCAAAGAGTATAACCATGTCTTTACGTTGAAATCAGAACCTATCATAAGACTCAGAAAGCTGTCCGTGCTGTAACAATATACAAAAATTTGCAGTATGGATTGTACTGCAAAGAACACTTCCCATTCATAAATTCATGACATTTCATGTGTGCTGTTTGCAAAAGTGTGGATACACAATTTTATACTTATGGTCCCCACAGTTAACTACATGTGCGTTTTCTTAACTACCACAGGCACATAGAAGTGCCTTTTCCTTTACTACTATAGTTGAAGACACACTTATATTGTTTCTTGTATTTTAGTGTGATCTCACTAAAGGTAACATAGCATCTAAGCAAGTGCAAGACCTTTTTCTAAAACCTCATTTTTCTCCTACAAATAAAAGTGGAAGGATTTACAAGGAAGTGTGGATAGATGAATTTCACCCAGTAAAGGGACTGAGCAGGGGATGTGATGGAAAGTTAAGGCAGAAATGAAAATAATGAATAGATGTTACCTTCAATCTCAAGAACAGAGCTAATCACTAAGCAGAGCTTTAGTCTAATGTATAGAATGACACAACACCTGGAAAAGAGAATAAAATAAGCACCCTGCTTTTAGTATCTTGGTGCGTTTCAAAGCCTAA